ATCTATCTATCTATCTATCTATCTATCTATCATCTATCTATCATCTATCTATCTATCTATCTATCTATCTATCTATCTATCTATCTATCATCTATCTATCATCTATGTAAGTATATAGTAGTATGTATATTATCTACATATATATATTACCTCGTTCCTGTCTTCATTTCCTCATGTCACAACTTCATTCATGACATGAATATTTCAAGAAGATTTTTGAACTTAAGCTTGTGTCTAATATAACCTTGGATTTGATGCATTAATTTTTATTTTAACAAAAAAGTCACAGAATATATTATATCAAAATTACTGGAAATTTGGTGGGGGATTCCTTTAAATTTGAATTTATGATTGAGTGGTTCATTTTATTTGCCCTGACCTTTGCTCTGAGGGAGTAAAGGATAACAGATGATTTAAGAAATAAAGACATTAATACAATTAATAACGACAATTAAGAAATAAAAGTCTTTTGCTTTTCCAGAATTTTCTCAACATGCATACCTTGTGTTATATCTTCTGTTTGAAATATAAGAATGAGTAAACTGTGTGAACATAATGGACACTGAGTTTTGTAACTGTGGAAGAAATCCTCAGCTACAAGTGTGGGTGGGTGTGGACTCAGACAGGAGAGTGTTCACAGAGGATTTCCTTTTGTTCATTTGGCCTCACAGAGCTTTGAGTTTATCCTCTCTCATTCACTTGTCAGTGTTACATCTCCAAACTTGTAATGGATGAATCAATGGTTTACAATAACTTAAACTTATCCAGGACTTGGGGGATTAGGAATGCATCACCTCCATCTCTTCCTTCAGGTAAGTGGCTTTTTTTCTCTTTTCAGTACTTGAATATCTTTTAGAGGTAATCCTCTTATTCTGTTATCTTATAGTTTTAAATTATTGCTTAGAGATAGTGAGATGCCTTATCATGTAAAAATACTAGTTGTACAAACCTGACAACAGGACATCAATTCACAATACCTTTGGTGGACTGAGAGTCGCCTCTTGAAAGTTGTTTTCTAAACTCTATACCTAGTGTAGTATGTACACACATGCAGGCACACACGGACACATGTACACATACATACACACACAGCATACCTTGAAACACTCAATCACACACACACACTCACACCTATCTGTCAGATAATCACAGCATCAGAGAGATATTATTCAAGGAATTCATGAATCATAAACAATGTTTCTCCTATTCAGCCTCATTTTAAAGATGCTAGTTAGATAATAATTTGCACATATGAACAGAAAAAATGTTTTTAGAAACACTGCAGACACTTCTTGGAATACCTTGCTCATTCCCGATCCTGGTACAGAACACAATACATTGAGTCAAAAACATCCCTAGCAGTCAGCACTGGGCAAAGTAGCACTTACCTCTGCCAGAGAGCTTAGTAATTGAAGCAAAAAAATGCGCAAGACTTGGGTAAAAAGGACTAGAAACTGATGTAGAAAGTGTGTCTAAAACTGTCCCAAGATAGTAGTGCATTCTATGACCAACAGAACTTACTGACAGCAATAAAATTGCAAGGTTTTTACCTAACATTCTTCCTATATTGTGAAAACTAAGTGATTATAACAATATTTTTAGAAATTTTGGTTAAGACCTAATAAATTATAAAAATTAAGTCAGGAAAACATCTTAGAGCCATCAAATCTGTTTCATTATCATCTTCACATCAGAATCAGGGGAAATGAACCTTTGACACTGCTGGGAGGATTCCAGTGAGCCAGCATGATAGGAGGAGCATGCTTTTCTTTTCCATGTGTGCAAGCCTAGCAAATGGTTGGGAAAGGGCTTGTTGAAATGGATGTAAGAAAGTGAAGGTTGAGAAAGACAAGATTTCCTCAATACTACTATTCATGATCCAGAGTCAAGAGACTAAAAAAATTGTCTATTCTCATTGTGATTATTATTCGACATATCACCAGTTTGAACAAAACCTCTGCACATAAGTCTCTTTTATAAAATGTGATATTTTCACAGGAACTACGTGCATATTCCTATGTGCTTTAGATAATCTCCAGATTACCAACAATTTCTTAAGATGAACTCAATGCCATGCAAATAGTTGTTATAAGTATTTGTCTAGAGAATATTATTTGGAAAAGTCTGTACATGTTCAAAAGATTGTTATACATGGAAAGTTCTAGTCAGCAGTGAACTACTCGGTCTTCTGGTATGGATTGTTCTTAAGGCTTAGGGGAACCATCTTCTATCTCCTGGGAACATTTCTACCTTTCTTCTTTCTTCTTTCTTCTTCTTCTTCTTCTTCTTCTTCTTNTTTTGTGGCCTAGACCACACAGAATCCTCTCAAAGATCCTTATGGTGAAATTTTTAGACTATAGAAGCGATATTTACCAAGGATAAGACAAGTAGCCAAGGTAAGGAACTATCTTTATGGACGGTGTTATGTGTTCTTTACAAAGAGTTTTGATGAAGTCACATCTTAAACTTTATTGTACTGATGGGATGAGTAAGTAATCGCTAGAAAATACCTTTACCAAATTGTGCTGTGCTTTAAAATGGCTAAAATAAATTACTTGAATCAAACTCATGAGGTTTGAACCAAGACTGGCTACTTAGTCATGTTGACCCAAACTACTTTCTTGCCTACTGCAGATCAAAGCACTGACCATGATGGTCACATAGACTCCCACAATGTTATACCTCTGAGTTATACCCCTTATCTGCTATAGGCACACTGTATGTCATGTTACAGCACAGAACCCTTTTTTTGTTATAGACACAGTGTATGTCATGTTACAACACAGTACCCTTATCTTCTATAGACAAACTGTATGTCATGTTACAGCACAGTACCCCTTATCTGCTGTAGACACAGTGTATGTCATGTAATATCATAGTATTCCATATTTGCCATTTCAGTGTCTGTTGTTTCTGTAAGTTGTATCTAGCAGTGGTTTTAAACTACTGACTGTAAAATTCTAGGAATAAGTAACTCAATGTTTTAAGCTGGACACTGCCCAGAGAAACAATGATGAGATCTCACAGCATCTAGGTCAAGAAGTGACTCACTTTACATCACTGCTTGTGTCCCAGGGTCACTCACTCACTCACTCATTCACTCAATAATGGATCCAAATTGAAAAGGTAAAGACATCAATGGTACAGTATTCTAAATAGAAGTCATAATGAATTCCTCTAAATAAAAGGTGATAGTGACAAGTACTGCACTCCGTGGAAAAAATGTTTTACTGTCACACACCAAATTGTGAAAGTTATAGTCACCAAGTGTAGTTTGGGCTTTGTGAAGATGTCTCTCTCTCTCTCTCTCTCTCTCTCTCTCTCTCTCTCTCTCTCTCTCTCCCTCTGTGTGTGTGTTTGTGTGTGTGTGTGTGTGTGTGTACACATACAGTGTAGTACTATCTCCAGTTACATTCAGTCCACTAGGAATGTTGGAAAGGATCCTGTAGTTAAGGGAGGTCTTGTGTAGTGACAAAACCACCTCTGACTTTTATCCCAGATGTCCTCATTTAGATTTAACAAATGTATTCTTTGCACTTCTCAGAAACCTGTCGATGCCCACACTGGCATCGGTTGGCTCTGAAACTCGGCTGTGCTGAGCTGATCCTGCTTGTCTTGAGCCTGACTGGACTCAGTATCTTAGGTAAGTAAGGCAAGAGCTTTTGTTTCTTAATTTCCTACGTAAACATTTGACCTATTTATGGCACCTGGCCTCTTTGAGCCTAGGTGTCATAAATGAGATATGACATAATGACATCTAATAATACAGGACAACATCCTGTGTCTTCTGTGGAAACTTCACATTTCTTCCACGCTTATTAATTTTTCGAGAACAGTTACGGGCTATGACATATGAACATCTAGAACTATAAAACATAAAAGTCACAGTTATGACAAAAATATAACAACAAAGAAAGCTAAAAGGCCCCCATATTTAACTTATTACATGCCTGCTAAACCTTCTCTGGAATGGGTGTGTTTAAGGATGAGCAGCTCAGACGTGACTATGGGCAATCTGAGAGTTCCAGCAATGCCCACAGATTGACTTGTCAATAAGAACATATATAACTTCACAGCTGTTTGAATCCATGTGTTCTGTATGTTTCTTGTTTATATATCCCATCTAAAAACTTGTCCTTTAATCCATTTTGCTAATATTGTATCAGTCCAGATGTTCAGATGAAATAACTTGGTTTCTTGAAGTAAGAAATAGAATACTGGTTCCATCATTTGTTTCAGCATTTAATTCTCCCTATGTGTTTTGTTATTTAATAGTGCGAGTCTTAGTGCAAAAACCACCAATAAAAAAATGCAGTGTGTCTGCTCAAGAGGTCATGGCTGAACCAACAGGTAACNAAATTAGAATAAATAGAAATAAATACATAGGCAATTTTGAACCGCACAATTAGAATAAAAGAACATTTTAACAATCTGGTTTCAAATTTTGACATGTGACTCAGAGCATGTCATAAATTATATCAGGAAATATTTAGAAATTCCTAAATATTTAGAAATATTTAGAAAACTAGAAACATAGAAATAAATTTGAAGCTGTCAAAATTAGGTCTCGCTACCCATGCATGTAGGGTATAACTGTAATTCTAGTACTTGAGAAACAGAGACAGTGACATTACGAGTTCAAGTTTATTCTTAACCCCAGAGGGAGTTTGGGTTTAGCCTAAACTACAGGAAACCCAATCTGAGAAACAAAACCAAGCCAAAGCTATGATAGGAAAGCTTCGCTCAGAATGGTACAGTGTTTGTTTCTAACAATTAAATCTATAAAGCCATTAATAAAACAGAAACACATGGAACTCTTAGAAACTAAATGCAAGCCAAAAGGGGATTATGATTAAATTAGAGATGTAATTGCTAGCTAGTGTTTCTCCTTATTACCTTTGTAAACAAAACTCTCCTTGTTTTTCATATCTAACCCATGTTTTTAAAGATGTCTAGCAGGAAGTTAAATTCACAAAGCTGTGGTAGGATAACCATATCACAAAAAATAATACATTTCATTGTCCAATAAGCATAAGACATCCATTGTTGGTTCAATCACCAAGGTAAGCAGAGATATCTAACATGGTATGTAGAAAGTGCATTGTGGTAGACAAAGTATATGTCATGTTATGTAAGAGCCTTGGAGGTCCTGTGTTCACAGATAAGCACTAGGGGAGCCAGAAATGTTAAAATGTTTCTGTTATCTACTTGAAAAGCTGACTTTAGGTGTACTTAATACTCTGATAATTTTTGTGGCCTAGACCACACAGAACCCTCTCAAAGATCCTTATGGTGAATTTTTCAGACTATAGAAGCGATCTTTACCAAGGATGAGACAAGTAGCCAAGGTAAAGAACTATCTTTATGGAAGGTGTTATGTGTTCTTTACAAAGAGTTTTAATGAAGTCACATCTTAAACTTTATTGTACTGATGAGATGAGTAAGTAATTGCTAGAAAATGCCTTTACCAAATTGTGCTGTGCTTTAAAATGGCTAAAATAAACTACTTGAATCAAACTCATGAGGTTTGAATCAACACTGGCTACATAGTCATGTTGACCCAAACTACTTTCTTGCCTACTGCAGATCAAAGCACTGACCATGATGGTCGCATGGACTCCCACAATGTTATACCTCTGAGTTATACCCCTTATCTGCTATAGGCACACCGTATGTTGTGTTACAGCACAGAACCCTTTTTCTGTTATAGACACAGTGTATGTCATGTTACAGCACAGTACCCCTTATCTGCTATAGACACAGTGTATGTCAGGTAACAGCACAGTACCCTTATCTGCTAGAGACACAGTGTATGTCATGTAATATCATAGTATTCCATATTTGCCATTTCAGTGTCTGTTGTTTCTGTACATTGTATCTAGCAGTGGTTTTAAACTACTGACTGTAAAATTCTAGGAATAAGTAACTCAATGTTTTAAGCTGGACACCGACCAGAGAAACAATGATGAGATCTCACAGCATCTAGGTCAAGAAGTGACTCACTTTACATCACTGCTTGTGTCCCAGGGTCACTCACTCACTCAATGATGGATCCAAATTGAAAAGGTAGAGACATCAATGGTACAGTTTTCTAAATAGAAGTCATAATGCATTCCTCTAAATAAAAGGTGATAGTGACAAGTACTGCACTCCATGGAAAAAATGTTTTACTGTCACACACAAAATTGTGAAAGTTATAGTCACCAGGTGTAGTTTGGGCTTTGTGAAGATCTCTCTCTCTCTCTCTCTCTCTCTCTCTCTCTCTCTCTCTCTCTCTCTCT